GATATGTATATTAAAATATAAAATTATTTCTTTTTAAGTATCTTATGGTAATATTTTGTTATTCTGTAAATGTAATTCATTTAAATTATAATTTATAAAGTATATTAATTTATATTATAATTATAATTTTGTGTAATTTTTAGTTACACATATGAAATATTTATTTGTAAATTTTATAGAAGGTTATTTCTTATTCTATAAATCAAAATGAGTTGATATTAATTTGTATTATTTTACGTTTTTTACTATGAAAATTATATTAAAACAATAAATATCTATTTTTAAAATAAAAATATATTAAAGATATTGTTAAATGTAATCTGAAAAAGTAGTTAAGAGTATCTTTTTGATATCTTATTCTAAATATATTTAAATATTATATAATATTATGTGTTTATTTAATAATAACTAAGTTTGTTGTATGTAACATAACATAAAATTAAATAAATGTAATGTTTTGAAGTAGACTACTTGCAAGTAGATAAAAAGTGCTTTTGTTTCAATAGTATTGACTAGATTTTGACCCGCGCTTGAGAAGCGCGGGTTTTATTTTGGTTGTAACAAAATGTATCAAATGATTCGATTTCTATTATATGATAGTATTATATGTGAAATTTTATGTATATTTAAATTTTTAGTAGAGTATTTTCATTGAGTTTTGCATAACCGAGTCAGTTTTTGGTTGAACCGAGAATCAGAAATTAAGTGTTGTGAGAGTATGAAAAAATAAAACACATATTAATTTGAAGCCAAAATTGGATGGGTCCATGGCCTAAACCCTAAACGCTAAACCCACGATTCAAAATCTACCAACCCGCACCCGCCCCGCATAAAATACTCATAACCCGCACCCACCAATCAATTTTTTCAAATTGTTTGACCCGCACCTCCCCCGCAGCGGGTCAAACGGGGCAGGACCCGAGGGGTATGACTCAGATTCGCAGCCCTACTTACATCATAAGCATTTGAGATTTGGACCTCACCTATAGCCAAAAATAAATTATAAGCATTTGAGTATTTTCTAGAAAATTGAAGGAATGATCAAAACATTGAGTTAGTAGAAACCTATTTTCAACTATATAAACAATGGTCATTTAGTACAAAATCACAATAGAAGTTTTTCAATTTCAAGGAATACCTCTATATTGCCCAATCTCAGCAAATCGTAGAAGACATATTACCATGCCTTCTGTTTCTTGGCTAGCTGTATGAAGATTCTCAGAAAATTTACCCCAAATACAGCAAGCTACTCTCTGACCACTAATAGAATTGCATATCAAGTTATAAATCAATATGTTTATAGATATATTTCTTTATATTAAATATATAAAACTTACGAAATGAAGATATTTAAATCATAAATCTATATAAAACGATAAATTTACATTTGCATCAGAAAGAATTAGTTCCATGGTCTCCCATATATGTCTTTCATGAAATGTATCTATGTATGAAGGCTTTTGACTTGGATGCGACATGCAGTCTTCCTCGGTTTTATATCGCTCAAGAAAGACAACTGCAAATTATTCATCATTTTTGTTTTAGGTTTTTCAAGGAATGATGAATATAGTGGTTAAGAGATGCTATATTTATAATAGGGAGGGACGATTTACATTTAGGTTACGCAAATGTAGGGCAGAATATTTAGATGATTTTTTAAAAATATCTCTTTCGAGGAATAAGGAATATTTCTTGAAGATATTTTGAATTCGATAGGAAGTTTAAAGTTTAACAGTAATCCAACTACGGTAAGTTACCAAAATTTATGGAATCCAACCAAAGAATAAATAACCATGATATTGATTGTGGTTAATCTATAAACTTGTAGATAAAGCAATTTATTTATTTTATTAGGAAGATAATTATAAAAAATAGTTTTTGCAATATTTTCTTAACAAATCGTATCTCGTTCATTAAATGTCACCATGAGAATGATGATATATCGACATATAAAGAAAAACATGAAACGAAGGACATTTGGATGGATTCTCCATTCTCAAATGTCTTAAAAACATGAAATGATGGACATTTGAATGGATTCTCCATTTTCCTTATATTTGAAATGGTTTTGAGTTATGAAATAAATGATAGAAGTAGTGAGACATTAAAAAATGGTTGATATAGTATGCAAAAGTCATGAAAATGTCGATATAGACAATATATTATATATACATTAACAAATGTCTACAACTATAAGAAAATCTTAATATATGTAATATAAAATGTAGTATGAGTTTATATCATATAGTCTTTGAAATATAAGGTGTAGTACAACTGTGTTTTAAATCTAAATATATGAAATATAGCATCATATCATGGTTAGAGTCATATGAGTTTATAAAGTATAGTCTTTGAAATATAAGGGGTAATACAACTATATGAAAATATTAATATATGAAATGCAGCATCATATCATCGATATATGATGCATATACCAAAAAATGTCAACCAAAAAATTATAATGTTGGAAATCTATATATTGAAATCATGTAGGCCAGTGTAGTATGAGTTTATATCATATAGTCTTTGAAATATAAGGTGTAGTACAACTATATGAAAATCTTAATATATGAAATATACCATGATATCATAGTTAGAGTAATATGGGTTTATAAAGTATAGTCTTTGAAATATAAGGTGTAGTACAACTATATGAAAATATTAATATATGAAATATAGCATCATATTATTTATATATGATGTATATACAAAAAAATATCAACCAAAAAATTATAATGTTGGAAATCTATAGATTTAAATCATGTAATATAAGGTGTATAACACAATATAAATGTATGAAATATAAAATGAATAATGGTTAGAGTAACTAATGGGAAGAGAGAGAATAATTCGGGTATATGTAATATTTGATATGAATTGTAACAAATCGATATATATATATATATATATATATATATATATATATATATATATATATATATATATATATATAGATGTAAGCCCAAAAATAAATTACTAAAATGCCACTAATGAGGGTGCAGACAACTTCTATCAGTCGATTTTTCAAGGGTGCCAATACTTTTAATAGTATAGATTCTATAAAAATAAGTATCTTTCTTTTGTTTTGGTTTTAGATTTTAGATTGCTAAATCAATATAACCCGAATCCAAACAATATATGGTTACTTTATCGGTTTTAGGATGTGTACAAATTAGAACCAAACCCAACGTGTTATATTTGAATCTGATTCATATTTACAAACTTGTCTAGTTACATATTATGACACCTATGATGTGATATAAATTAGCTCTGATTCAAAATATTCGACCTGTATCCCAAATAGGTACTTAAATTCTCAAGCATAACTTATATTATGTGTTATATTTTGTTAAATTAATTTTATATTTGATAAATATTTTGTCTGTTTATTAGAATAACCCGTAAAATTATAATAAAAAAATATCAGTAATAACATGTTTCATCATATAATTAAATATTAATAGCAGCTATTATTAATATTTATTTTATAAAAAATTCTATATATATATTAACGATTTTAAGACTTTATCTAGGATAATTATATTATTATGTATTGGTGGAGGTTTGAAAAAAATTGTTTATTATTATTTTTTGTATCAGTTACATATAATTAAATGTTAATTTTTTATATCCTATGTTTTAATTTAGATATGTATATTAAAATATTAAATTATTTCATTTTTAATATCTTATGGTAGTATTTTGTTATTTTGTAAATGTAATTCATCTAGTTTATAATTTATAAAGTTGATTAATTTATATTATAATTATTATTTTGTGTAATGTTTAGTTACAAATATGAAATATTTATATATAAATGTTATAGAAAGTTAGTTCTTATTCTATAAATCAAAGTGAGTTAATACTCATTTATAATTTAATATAATATTATTTACGTTTTTATTATTAAATAATATTAAAACAATAAATTTTTGTTTTTAAAATAAAAATATATTAAAGATATTGTTAAAATGTAATCTGAAAAAATAGTTAAGAGTATCTTTTTGATATCTTATTTTGAATATATTTAAATATTATATTAATATTATGTTGTTATTTAATAATAATTAAGTTTGTTGTATGTAACATAACACAAAAATTAAATAAATGTAATGTTTTGAAATAGATACTTGCAAGTAGATAAAAAGTGCTTATGTTTTAATAGTATTGATTTACAGAACAGTTTACATAGTATACTTTATTTCAGAGAATAGGTTAGTTACAAAACTCAGAAATATCTTGTGGACGTTATACAGTCTAAGAGATCCTCATTGTCATACTGTCTGTGATCGTTGCTAATTTGCTATAGATTATCAGCTTGTCACTGAAACTATTTCCAAACCGTCTTAATAACCATGGTACAAGACTCTATTGCATTTCTAATGCGTTACATAGCGAAGAGTAGTTACAATTGAAATTGTCGGTTCCAGTTACATTTCATTTTGTGGTCGGTCCTGAATACATGATCAAACCCTTTCATAGACCCGCTTTGCTTGGTGGTCTACGCTTTTACGTCTGCATTCTTCTCTAATTTTTTGATGTTTTTGTTCTTGGTTTTGAACATTTCGTAACTTCATATCAGAAACAATTTTTTAATTATAACAGAAACTTTCTCTAAATCAGATATTGAATATTTGTAGGCTCCGTGTGATTACCTGCATTTACAAAAAAAAAAAAGAGGTAGATAATCTTTTGATGTTCTGGAGAAAAGCAGAAAATGTTTAAACTTATAAATGATTCTATTGCTGGACTTTGTTTCAGGAGCAACTCAATATGAACCCCTTTGCTTTATATGAAGCTAAAGGGACAAATGAGAAATTCAGCAAAAAAAAATAACAGTAGCAAGCAATGAACAAGAATAGATAACAATCATAAACAAAGTGTTACTAATAAAGACAATGATCATGGAACATCCTAAAGAATCTTCTGAAGCTGAGCTACGATTTGAGATAACAAATCATTTCACTGTAGGTGACCATGAAACCCTTGTGAAGACTATCTTAGAGAAACATGAGATTCTCAACCTGACCAGGGAAGATAGAGATTGTACGTCGATCCGAATCCACATCCCAATACTGAAGATCCTTTTCTGTGATTCCTTCAATGTCAACTCTTCTCATGCTTTTTTTCTTGGGATCATAATACAAAACATAATACGGCGGTGCACGCAAAGTCTCTGGTGCCAAAACAAACTCGCCAGCATCATCATCATCATCAACGACACAAAACACTTGCAACATGGTCCTCCTGTCAGGTAAGAGAGGCAAAACGAAATTCTGATTAGACCATTCATGTTTGGCAGCATCTTCTAAAACCCACAATTCGATTCGACCAGGGTAACTACTAAATCGATCAGAAAACATGAGAGCAACCTTCCCATTGTATCTGATCATCCTTGTAAACTTGTCAGCTCTTCCTGGTGGTACTTTGATAATATCAAACTTTTCAGACCTAACATCAAAACTCATGACTGCATGGTCTTTTCTAACGATACGTGAACCTAAGTCAAGATAAGCTCCATAGTATAAAACCCCATCTATACATATATAAGGAGACTCAGGAGAGTGAGGAGGAGGACAGTTTTCAATCATCCTCCACGAACTCCCATCTCCCAGTGTCAATATTTGTATCTTCTCAGCTAAACCACGTCCCCTACGAGCATGCATTCCTCTACTCATACACAACATTTTGTAGTCACCATCGATGGGATCATAACCCAAGTAGTGGTACATACGTATCCTGTGAGCATCGACATTAGGCAAAGAAATGGACCGTCTAGTGCTAGGGTTGTACACCATGAGCTTAGAAGGAGGTCCATAGCAAATCAAACCGTGGACAGATGGAGTGATGGCTGTGTAGGGTTGAGAATGACATGTCATATGGTAACTTGCTACACAAGATAATGATGATTCATCTCCATGTTGGCGTTGACTTGATGAGAAGAAGAAATGTTTACCGTGACGCCTGCTCTTGAATGTGAAGATGAGACTTTGAGGAAGAGTCGACGACTTGATCAAGTATGATGTCACGAAATCTCGGTTGCGAATGATGGATCCCCAGGTTTTGGATACGCAGATGAACCTTGCTAGGGTTTTAACAGGCAAATCTTTGAGTATCTCTGGGATGAGATCAAGCGGAATGGAGTCATCATAGTTTCCTCTGCTTGTGCTTACATCATCAGAGATCTTCTTCTTTGAAAGCTTCTTCTTATGTGTTTCCATGGCGGAGAGGGGAAGGTTGTCTCCTTTTTTTTTCTGCAAGAAGAGGCCAACAAATGAACAAAATATGGTTGCTTCTCAAGTCACATTAAAATAAACAAACGTGGTGACTACTAATAAGATAAAACAAAAAGTCAAAGTCAGTCTTGACATATATTGGATAGGCACAAGATTGGTGATTGTATTTAAATATAAGCTAATCAAGTAAAATGTTATTTCTTCAGTGTTTAATTATATGTTCTTTGTCAGTTTTTTTCCCTTTCATTAAAGACACGCCAATATGTTAACTGTACTGGAACTCAATTAGCGATTATCAATTTGTATAGTTATTAAATAGAAAACAAGAAAATTCAAAGTTAGAACTGAATAGAGCATCCTAGTCCTGAATTGTGTTACAAAAGCAACTCAACATTAACAATTATGTGAAGGTGAAGCTGTTAGGCGTAACAAGCAAATAGGAAATGTAACCAATAATCCAATATAACAATATAAACAACCTGTCGATATGGTGAAAATGTAACCAAATATATAACATAAACATGAGACTTCCCAACAAACTAAAGATGGGCTAGGTCACATTTCAACGTAGTTTGAAGGTTGAAAACAGACCATCGATCTTATGATTCTTACAGAAACATGAGACTCTCAACCTGACTAGAGCAGAGATGGAGCAGACGACAAGCATCGAATGGTCTGCTGTTGTCGTGACGTTTAGGCTCTTCGATTCCTTCTACTGTGACTTTTCTAATACTATTTCTATTTGGATCATAATATAGAACATAGTGTCGAGTAAGCACAAAAATAGGTGCCAAAACCAGCTCACCCGCATCATTGACGTTAACGAAGCGATGAAACACATGTACTAATGTGCCCTCAACAAAACTTGTCCACCAATTAGGCAAAACAAAAACCTTCTTCAACCATTTATGTCTCACTGCATCCTCAAGAACCCACAAAACCAAGCCACCATCAGATGAAATCTCCATGGATATGATAGCTAGCTTCCCCTCGTAACTTACCATTGCTGAACATTTGACATCATCGCCAGGCATTTTGATACGTTCAAAATTTTCAGACCTAACATCAAATCTTATGATGAATGAAGTTCCCTTCAATTTCGTGTCAGCACAAGCTTCATAATACAATACACCATCGATACATATATGGTTCACGAGAGGAAAATGAGAGTACAGACCAACGTCAATGGTCTTCCATGAACTCCCGTCTCCTAAGGTCATAACCTGAAAAACAGGCTTTGGTCCGGACATACACAACACTTTGTAAACACAATCAATACCATCATAACCTAAGAAGTGACTTTTGACTGAAGTTTCAGGCTCGAGTTTAGGCAGTGTGGTCGATTTCCTGGTGCTGGAGTTGTACACTTTAAGCTCAGCAGAGGCAGAAGCAGTTGCGTAGCAAATCAAACCATGAAGATGGGAACAATGGTTTGCTTCGACATCAAATGCAGGATGAGACATAGCTAAGGAGGCTTCACCTCGGTTTAGGGTTGGAATCGTGAAAAGGAAGCTATCTCTGAAACGCTTGAATGTGAAGAAGAGACGACCCGGTCGGTTCGAAGACTCGGCGAGGAACACTTTCATGAAGTCTCGGCTGCGGATGATAGATGCACAGAGCTTCGAGACACAGATAAGCCTCACTAGGGTTTTGACCGGTAACCGTTTGAATATCTCCATAACAAGATCGGTCGGAAGGAGATCTGAAATCGTCTTCTTCTTACGTTTTGTAACCCTAAGTGACGGCGAAGTTGGTTCCACGATTTCTCTGCTATCAGTATCATTTGCTGTCTCTATTTTTCTTTTCATGGTGGAGACTGGAGAGGAAAACCAAAGGTGTGTAGTTTTCTTTTAATCGGTTGGAATCGCAGTAGATTTAGGTGATGATTGTTTATTTAGGTGATAATTGTTTCAGTAGTTTTTGGTTTTTGTTTATAGTTTTTAGATTTTAGTTTTTGATTTTAGATTTTGGTTTTAGATTTTAATTTTTAATTTTTTTTTGAGTTTTTAGTTTTTGGTTTTTGATTTATATATTTTAATTTTAGATTTATTTGTCAAAATTACTATTTTCTTTTTACAAAATGGAGTGATTTATTTTAAGACAATACAATAAATACTAATAAAATATATTGAAATTTGTATTTTCCAGTAAATGTAGCAAGATATCAATATATTTTTAAGTTACCATTAAAATATATGAAAATATTATGATTCAGAAAATCTAAAAACAATCAACATAAACTGGTATTTAAATTTTATTTTATTTTATTTTTACTGTTTAGTTTTTAGCTTTTGATTTTATACATATATAAGTTTAAATGATTTGATTTTTGGAATTATTTTTCAATTTTATGAATTTTACAGCAAGAAAATAAATCAAAAATAAAATTTGTAGAAGTTTATATTTTATTATTGAAATGAATTAAAATATTATGTTTGTTATTTGGAAAACAAATTAAAAATATTTTAAATTCTTTTTCAATTATTAATTTTTGGTAAACATATATTTTCCTACAGATTAAAAATCATAATATATAAATAGTAAAAACGTAAGTAAAGTGTTTAGAGCTTAACAAACATATACATTTAACTAGTGTTAATATATTGTATTTATATATTTAAGAAAAAGTAGACGTGCACATTTTAAAAACCAACAAAACATGGATTTTGGTTTTTCATTAAAAAGTTGGTCTAACATCTAAAATCTGGTTTCCCTACTTTTTAGGAATACACTTTTGTTACAATCTTGATTGGCAATAATATAAGTTTTAGTTTTCCTAAATTGTATGGAATCTCCTTTTTAAAAATCTTGATTGGACAAAAACTTAGTTTTTGAAAAACAAAAACTAAAAACCAATGTAAAATCTGCAAACAATCATCCTCTTAGTTTTTAGTTTTTAGTTTTTGATTTTTTAGTAGATTTTAGCTTTTTGAAAAATTTGAATGGTGATTTTAGATTTTGGTTTTTATTTTCAAAGTAATATAAATAATTAATAAACAAGAAATTTATGAAAAAATTAATATTGTCATTAGGGATAGAGGTTTGGATATTCATTCGGGTTTGGTTCAGATCTATTCAAGTTTTAGGTTTTTGGGGTTAGAGAGTTCAACCTCATTCGAATATTCATAAATTTTGGTTTAGAATCGGTTCAGATATTTCTGATCTCGGTTCGAGTTCGGATAACCCGTTTAAATTATTATTATTTTTTAAAAAAAATTTATATGTACTTTAAATTTCAAAAATCTAAAAAACAATTAATAATATATAATATATAGATTTGAGTAATATATGCTAAAATACCTTAACATAAAATTTAGTTTAACAAGAATATTTGGATGAAGAATCAATAGATTTTTAAATACTGATGGTGTTTTGAATATTTTTAGGTACTTATTTACTTTTGACTATTTGCATATATTATGTAACCACTAATAATCTGGAAATAAAGATGAACCAAATCGCATATAAATATTCACATAAATTCATTTTTCTTTTCATCAATATTGAATCCATTTTGTGACTTCTGTGTTGGAAATGTATTGAATGAAAACCTATAATTCATATCTCATCAAAAATTCTCTTCTCAGTTTTTACATAGTAACAAAAACACATTGTTAAATATATAAAGATCTTTGCTTTATGTTAAAAATATGTTAGCTTTATATTAAAAATCCCAAAAAAGCACACTACAAAGCAAAATGTATAAATAATCTTTGCACTCCAAACATTGATCTCCTTTCTGTAATTTCATCTACTTTAGAAGCAAGATAATAACACTTTCTACTATATCACTGTAAACCTTTCATGTAAGTATATGAAGACAAAATAATTCAATTACAGTGACATAATATGACATAATAATCATTGTATGAAGGAAATAATCATGCACACTAAAATTTCCAGAGCCTATGTTTTGAAGTTTACAATGATATTCCAAAAATTTGAAGAAACCAATAATTTCAAAGTTTGAAAAAGCCTGACCTAGGTTTCATAAACCATCCCTAAGAAAATAGATTAACAATCTCAATTGGATTTCACAATGCTATCTCAGAGTCGAAGTGAAATGGATTTCGGAAGTACCGTTAAAAAATAATCGGCCTGCATGTGGAAAAGTGAGATTTTTTAGTGATATATTGGCATGAGAGCTGTGTCTTAACACTGGAGACATTACAAATTATCAGTAGATTTTCTCCAACAACTTTGGGATTGATGCTAGTAACCAACACAACTTTTGGCTCCAAACCGTAGCTTTCCAATTTCTTAAGAGATGCAAAAGCTAGGTCTTTGAACAGAGTAACACACACACATTCACATCCCTGTAAAGTAGCAATGAAAACTAAATTAGAATATGATATCATACAAAGTTGTGTTAAGGCTACTTTTCTAGACGTAAGTCAGCATTACACATTGTGTCCTCTATGTACTGTCGTTAATTGTGCTCTTGATTGCAATGACCTAGTCAAGAATGTCTTGAAAATTTTGAAGGAGAGGTCCGTAAGTACGTTGGAGAAATTATAAAGCAAAATATTTTATATAGAAGTTTAGAGATCCTATTTTTTGAGAAAGCTACTGCTCGTTCCGCACTTGTTGTCAAGATATAAATGTTGATCCTTGGATAAGGGTAGTCTGTGACATGAAAGGATGAATCATAAGAAAACAAATTGTTATTCTCATATTCTGTTTTTAAAAGGTAAAAAAAAGTTATGGTCGTGCCTTCGAATCAATAAGAACCATAGCAACACACATCAGTTCACTCTCTTTCTTAACATTGTGGGCTTCTCAAAATCGAAGGAGTCTTGAATGCACTTTTGCTCGACAATGCCCAGTCTTCAATTCTATAAAAAGGAAATTATAGATGTCGCCATGAGTTTATAAATTAACAGAAGTCATGCAGTCAAAAAAGAAAAAATATCAAGCTTATGTTTTCAAGCAATATATATCTATCTATATATATAAAAGAAGGTTTTCTTCCCTTCTATTCATCCACGTCATCAATTCGGATGCTAATAAACTGATACGTGTCTCCGCCCACCAAAACGCATCGCATTATTAGTTCTGAAACAAGTTTTTTTGGGCTTTAGTTTTGTAATTGGGCTTCATGTTAGAGAGCGGTAGTGGTGACCAGGGTAAGCCGTCATCTTCTTCGCTTGATCAACAATGGAGATTTTTTTTCCTGGTAATCAAAAACAATGGAGATTTCTCACATCGAGACCGACAAATCGTCATCAAAAACATTTGTATCAAGCCGACGTCGATTCATATTTGGTCTTTAACCCCCAGACGTTACGAGTTGTCTTCATTCATCGGCTTTAAGAGATGTCTTAACTCCACCAATGCGAATCAAACACTACTTCATTCAATTATACTCATCAACTCGAAGGCGGTTTTCTTTACCTATAAAAGGGGTGAGCCTTCTACCCTTGAATAATATCACACTCACATTTTGTGATTCTACAAAAACAAAAACCAATCCCCAATCATGGCTACCTCATCGGTTCTTCTTGGTTATTCGAAGGCTTCTATAGATTTAATCTTAATTGAAACAATTTATGTTTTTACATATCGTCTGTTGATAATGATCTATTTTCAGATTTGTTACCGTCAATCCCATTGCAGCCACTGTGAATGTTCACCGGCCAGCAACTTTTGAGGGACCGTCTCCAGCAGTTTGATGTCACTGTGTAACCAGAGCCAGAATCACTTCTAACAATCCGGTCCACTGATTCAACCAATCCCGATGTGCTAACCGAACCAAATTCTCTCATTCCTAAAGAACGTTTCAGGTTCCGTTCCGTGATCAAAATTCACGTTCCAGGTACAACTTCTTAAAGCATGTTTATCTCAGACATATCATTGTGACAGATAATAAATGATAATGTTCTTAATCTCTCAGACTTAGCTAACTGCTGTGAAGATTGAAGAATACAGTTCCTCAAGGAAAAGAGAGAGTCATGGCGATCATCAAGATCGACATGTATTTCCCTTCTTTGTTTGAATCCATTCAATACTTCCACAAATAATCTAACTTTCCTTTCGAATATACGTTGACCATCTTATGTTCTGTCTTCCTTTTTACAGTAATATATATGTCACCCTGAGCCTGCTTGACTCACAAGCTGTCTTTTTCCACAAGAAACTTGAAGGAAAAGATCCAAGGGTTGTTCTTGCAAGTAGCATAAACCCCAAGATAGTAGGAGGTATATTTATGTCTGGAATTAAGGAACACAAAACTTATACTATAACTTACTAGAATTTTTCAAAATAATGCCTACATGTGAAGAGCCTAATATTCTTGAAACACGCATGGGATATTTTTCTGCAGGACGTTTGCTCTTAAATTCCACCTCAGGAGCACATGTATTTCTTGACAAGGAAACTGATGCTTTTACGAGTAAGAATATGATGATTCATACCATTGTCCATTCATGAATAATGATATCAACATAACAAAATAAAGCTATCACAAAATTGAAAAACCTACCAGAAAGAACATGCTTATGGCCCATATGTGGTCTCTTCTTATCAACGTCAACCATTTCTTTGATTAAAAATTTACAATTCATAAAATTTATCAAAATGATGTTATCTCCTTGGTTATTGTTTTAATTTCTATAAAATTATATTCATCATATAAGAAACATATGGGCTTGAATACATCTCTGACGTTGGTTCTAAACTCTCTGCGGTAATGTTACATCTTCTCAAAAAAAAAAAAACTTGGATACAAAAAGAAAGTGAGTGTAACTTTTAGGGCAAAAATATATATTTTATGCTCCATGGGACTACATTGCAGAAGCCACGAAATCGCAGGCTCATTCTGATTTAGTAATTACCTCATGGGATTCATATTGGATTGTGGAAATGTGGGAATATGCTGGATAGTTGCAATGAAAAATGGAACCATTAGGGGAAAGATTGGAAAACATGTCAGTTCAACTTAATCTCAATATAAAAAAAAGTGTACCAGTTTTTTGCTTTGGATCAATGCTATGTATTCTATTTTTGTTATATTGTTTGAGATATTGGTCAAAGGTGGAACCTTTCAAGGAAGATTCTGAATTCTTCTCATGGTTATCCTTATTGATTATTTAACGCTTATGAAGATTTCGACTTTCAAAGACAGAAAACATTGAGTAAAAACGTTTGTGATTAAAAATATTGCCAACTTGATAACAAACAATTTTGACTGTGTTTATCTTCATTACTCATTAATTGTGTTTTGGTAAAATTGATTGATCAGGTTGAACTGATGGAGAGTTTTATAGAATAAATCATGAAACCGTTTCTAAGAAAGCAAGGTATATTCATGTTCGGGTCAGAAGGGTAGTATATTGCACTTTTAGTTTCCATCTCTCTCTCTCATTCACCAAGTTTGTGAAGGTGCGGTAAATTTATTATGAAGGTGCGGTAAATTTACTCTCAGACTCCATAGTTTGTGAAGTACAAAAAAAATTTCTCCAGAATTTTCTTGCATTTTTAGTACATAAGAATGTCTATATTCTAAAAGCTTTTCTTTCATTTGTATGTTTTCACATTGTATTTTAGATGATATGATTATATTTAAAAAAATGATTCGGTGAACAAATATGACTTGATTCGAAATTATAGCCTATAATGTATTTTTAAACATAACATATATTATTTTAAATCATATAAATACTAAATAAAAATCTAACAGGGTTTGTTTAAATATAATTAGAAAATTTATTAAATCAAAAATATATTAATTATATACATAATAAAATAATATAAAATTTAGCACAGAAAAATTATAGAATAGGAATAAAACAATCACTAATTATATTATGAAACTAAAGAATAATATTTTTAAGAGAAAATCAGTTTGGATAATATGTTTATTTGATAAATAATTCAAATAAATATGATACTTTTAAAGAGTGGCGATTAGTATTATATTTTTATACTATCTAGCTAATTATTATTTTTTGTAGTGTATCAATTATTTTATTGTTTCACATTATCTGAATCAATATGTTTAAAAGAAAATGTATAAAATAGACTAAAAGTCTCAAAGGATTCAAAACAAAGTACACTATATGATGTACAAATAATTCATAATTTATATTTTAAGTGTCAACTAACATTTTGAGTAAATTATTCTACTTCACTTACTGATTACAATAAAAATAGAATAGGCCTTGAGAAAAATATTAAAACGTCATTTGCATCATAATTTCTTTTCATTAAACAATTTTATTATTTTTCAATAAGAAAAGTCAATGTGATATTATTTTCAGTTTAAAGTAAAATTTTAACATTTATTTTACTAATTAATATATTTTTAGCTATTTTTTATTTGCATACCCGCCCGTAGGGCGGGTTTTACCCTAGTATATATATATATAAATGAGAAGAGATTCTCTTCTTAAGGTGTCCACATCAGCAAAAAAAAAGTGAATATTTTTGGATATGTGGCAAGATATGAAAGATTCAATAATATTGGGCTTCTTCCTCTTCTTTGTAACGTCTTCATTTATCGCCACTTGAAAACAATAATCTAAACATTGACATATTTTTCATCACTACGTCTACTTTCTCAAATTAAATTGACCCTAGCATCTTCCATGGTAACATCATGAAGCTTCACCTATAAGAATTTTATCGAAAACAAATTCCAAAGACCTTAAAACAAAGTTGTTGTTTGTGGTGTGGGTTGTTGTGATGTTTCAGATAACTCTGGTATATTTCTTTACTATCCAAATGTTTCAGTTATGTATATATATACATGAATTATACGGTGTGGTGTTTTTTTTATTTGATTTGTGATATGAGTATAATAAGAAGAATAAGCTATTTATATCACTTCATTTGAGATCCTTTCAAATTTTCAGACTTAACCGAATCAGATTTAATCTATTAAAGAAGATGTATACACATTTTTTTTCTATGATAAAAGGGTTTTCATTAATAAAAAAAGTGAGTACATGAAATAGAGAATTACAACAGTGAACCATAGCATATGAGCTCTAACCAGCAAAAAAAAATTTCAAAGGGTATATACATATTATTAGGAGTTTTACCAATTACCAGAGATATTAAACCAGAGAACAAAGAGTATATACATATTATTAGGAGTTTTACCATTTACAAGATTTAATTTCAATCAATTTCAGATAAAAGATTATACATTATCATATATGAAACTACTGTGGAATCTTTGATATATATTTTTTTACCATAGAATTTTAGATGATTTATGCTACTCTTACAAAGATATATATATATATATATATATATATATATATATATATATATATATATATATATATATATATATATATATATATTGTTTCCAAACACATTTTCACTATATCTATATAGATGGATTACTTTCAAATAATGTCTTACTAAACTATATATTTCACTTTGTTGTGAAGGGACATTCAAATGAAGAATAATGAGTGTGATTTTAACGTTTTTTGTTCACTTATGACATAAATTGACAAGGGTTCAATTCAAGATTTTTAAAGTGAGGTAAAGAGATAAAACATGCATGGGTAGTCATTTTTTAAACACAAATATATAAAGAATAATTTTTATTTAAGTATGGTTGTGGTAGTGTAGTATATTTCTAAGTGTTGAATAGTTAAGTATTTTTCTCTTCAGAAAGTGTTGGATATAATGCTATGTCTGGAAAGCAGTCAATATATATACTAATTTATATGTTTAGAGATCTCACAGACTCTCTAAATCCAGCTACACCTCAGATATTGATCAATCTACAAGATTTAGATTCCTATTAATGTCACTTTACCATTCCTCTCTATATGTCTCGGTTATAAACATCCAACTTGAATAAAATCTAACTTAACTCAAAATTTGTATTTATAAAAATTTGTAAACCAATTTTAATTTAAATCAGTATCTGCTAACAAATTCATGCTAAAGCATAAGATGCATCATGTATAGTTATTCGATTGTTTCTTATAATTTTCAAGATATGAGATTAATATACATATTAAATAGGATAAAATCAATCACTGTTCTGTCAAATTGTGTGAAAAAAAAACATACATAATTGGGGGATAATATTGACACTATGTTGAATGTTTCATTATAATTTCTAAAATGAATATTAAAATACATAGATAAAATTGTTGTAAAATAATTATGAACCTCTTAATACTAATTTTAGGTTAAATAAATTTTAAACAACTTATCAAAGAACTTTACTAATACGTCTGCCCGTAGTAGGGATTTACCCTAATATTTTATATAATAAAGTTGATTTGCCTATTTCTTTATGCGTCCATATTAGCAAGAACATAGAGGCATTTTGCACCATCTGTCAACTCTGATTCTTCCTCCTCTCGTAAGTTTCTGTTACATAATTAGATTTAATATTTCAGGGCATTTATTAAGGTGAAAGTTTAGGTTTTGTTAAGTAATTTTGAAAGATCCATATTATCTTTTTCAAAAAAAAAAAAGATCAATGTTATTTTTTTTGCTAATATGATGTATTAGTTTTTTTAGGTTTAACTATTAACCTCTATAAATTAATAATCTTGGGACTTTGAAATTTTATTAATTTATAGAAATATTAATTTACGAAAGTTTCTTTATTTAAATTTTTGATTTTTTTCATTTTATTTATAAAAGAAAAACTATATATTTCATTTTACCGTATTTACATTATTTAAATTTTTGAAATTTGACTTTTATATTGTTTTATTATCTTATTTGGTGTATATTTTTATGTTTCATAGAATTGTTACATGGTTTTCGATATAATTTAACTAAATATTATCAAAATATATTGAAATTTTTTAAAAATATAAGTACTTTTATAGTAATTGTAAAACCCATAACTAAATATTATCAAAATATATTGAAATATTTTTAAAAATAAAAGTATTTTTATAAATAAAAGTATTTTTATACAAAATAATGTTAGATTGTACTTATATAAAATTATATATAGCTAGATTATTAATTTATGATTTTAGTGGGACCATATATTTACATGGCCGATTTAAAAATATTATTATCTTATTATTTTATCGCTTTGTGTCATATTTTACACCGGCCGAAGTTGGGACCGGTGAAATTTATTAATTTATAGAGATTATTAATTTATCGAGTATTAATTTAGAGTATCTCCAAAAAGACACTCTATTTTAGAGTTTATAAAACTCTATTTTTGAAGTTTCAATGTGTTCTTCTCCAAAAACAAAACTTCAAAACTAACTTTAAAACTATTTATATTTTACTCCATAGTCCTTATATTTG